GTTTGCTGGTTCTTCAGTAGACTGTGAACGCAAGGGCTGCCTTGGGTCAAAGGTCGACTTAATACAGCTCTTAGTTAGCAAAGTTCGGATGGGGAACCGAACTAGCCCAAAACAAGTAGTTAGCAAATCCAAAGTCGTGACACACAGAAGGTGACGTGACGTCGAATAGATTAACTAATCGATAGGCGAGCCAACAAAGGTCTAGTTTAAGGAATGTCAAGCGGACAAGAAAGCAAGAGTTCCTATGGTCTGCAGTACCACAGGTCCACATTACGTGCGCACGCGGAGGTTCCTCCGCGCAGTCGCTTGTTGTCACACACCGAAACGGGAGAGCTGCGAGGAGAATCTCCTCAAGAGAAATTACACCCCTGCCCCTCCCCCTGAGAATCGGTACTCTTCATCCTTCCCGAATATTGCAGGACACACCCTATAGTTATAACAAAACACAGCGAATGCCATAACAGAATAATAGAGATCGATAACTCAATAGAGGACTTACGAATGTCAGTATTGCAATGCATATCAGGAAATATGTCATACAAATCAGAAGGGATTGCTCGTTGGCAATGGTGACTACAGACTAGGGCAGGGGTAAGGAGTGCCAGCACACTCAGGCTCTGTGCTCTCGAAACACAGACTGCCATCGGCCTTTTGGAGAATACCGAAGCAAACAGGAGGATTCTGCCAACTCTTACAATAGGAGCCCCACTTTGAGGTTCGACAGCTCGTCAGATCATCACAGACATCCTCACAAGATGGAGGCACTACTGGGCAAGAGACCGGCTGGTAAACAGAGTCATCACATGAAGGGTCGGTTGGTTGGAAGCAGTACTCACCGTCACCCTTCTGCAGGAGACCGAAGCATACACCGTTACCCTTGCAGTATGAACCCCAGCTGGAAGTGGCACAGGAGGGAGTCTCGTCGCAAAGCTGCTGGCAATACTCTTTGGAACTACCGAGAGCTACACCGAGGGAGGATAAGACGACGATACTGAGGAACTTCATAACGGAATGATCACGAGAAACTGAACAATCGAAGAAATGAGAATGGATGATATCAGTATCAGAGACCCGAAACTCATCCATCTCGGGCGACAGAGCTATACCAACTAGCTCGAACATGTGAAATGGAGCTCAATCAGCTCAGCCGACAGATGAATGTGGCGCAGTGGTCTGTGTGATTACTCTCATGGCCTGCGTCTCGATTCTCGCAAAGACTTCGAGAACTGACAACTGCCTGGTGGGCTCATTGAGCTAGCTCGGCTGCACTGGGCTGAGCTCAGCATACGGCCATGACCGCCGTTGTAGAACCATAGCTCTACAGCCCAGGTCTGCTTGGCAGGACAGGGAGTCACCTACCCTGTACATCATATCGGCATTACTGGGGCTTGAGTATGCGACCTAATTGTCATGTTCCCCGCCCCAGAGTGCGCCCCATCGGCTAATTGACTGCTAGATGCCATTAAGGTCTCAAGGGAAATCAAAGGATACTTGCGTACGAACAAGTAAATCTCATGAGACCAATAAAGCTCAAATAAGGCTAATCACCTGTCACACTGCACGCATACCCATTGTTCTCCTCTGACCGCACAAAGCTGTCTCTATAGGGTATTTAGCGCACGCCCATGTGCTCCGGCCATCCTACTCGACATGCCCCCCGGATGGACGGTTATATGGGCGGGTATTGAAATAATGACATTCTAAGATGTCAGACTTATTAACCGGACCCTGGTACGGACCCGCAAGAACAAGTTGCAGAGTGGTCCGGCCGACTTGGCCATACACACGGTAGACTGTGGAACCATAGGAACCACCGCGACCGAAGCTATTAGGCTCGAACAACAATACCTCATCACCGATAGCAGGTGGACCGCGACCGCGGGTCCCGCAAATCTCACGGGAGTCAGTGATGGATTTATGCAAAGCCGTCTTAACCATATCATTCATAACTTTGCGAACATTCATCAAATTGGCAACATCATCAAGTGTAGCAATAGCAGAGCTCTCGGGACCATCATTCTCTAATGCATTCTCGACAGACAGACGTCGAGGTCTACAGAAAAATATTTCATGGGGGGTAAGACCGACATCAGACAAAGGTTTACAGTTGAGACGAACAAAGGCCTTAGATAATAGAGTAGGCCATACCCTTTTATTGGCAACCCCTCGGCAAAGGGTCTTTAATGCAGAAATGGATCGCTCCACTAACCCATTGGCGAATGGGCTCCCTGGATTAGTGATTCGCTGAACGATCCCTCGCTCCAGCAGAAACTTCCTAAAAGCAGCCGAGCGAAAAGCGGGTCCCCCATCACTCTGCAATAAAGAGGGGTTCCCCCACCAATCGAAGCATGTAGATAGGGCTCCTACGACAGCAGAACTCGTGGAGTTCCGAATCGGAGAGATCCATACATATCTGCTGAAATGATCAATTAGAAATATAGCGGAATGATAACGGGAATATCTATCTGGCCCCATCTCTGCCAAGTCAATGCTAATTGTTTGCCATACCGATCGAACTCCTTCATTCAAAGAACGACCGCCGTCAGTAGTGGAATAGTAACGTCGACTAAACGACTGTTGGCATTTGTTGCGACTCTTGCTCAGGTCGTTGACCAGTCGTCGTATATTAGGGTAATAGAAAGTACGAGTAATCAGCCATCTTAGATATCGAACATTGAGACATCCAGCTTCATCATGATATTGGGAGACCACGTGCTCCGCGAAGCCCTTCCCATCAGACGTATCCGCCGGAATGAAGTAGCACAGCCGGTGAGCCTGAATGCCATTCAGGCGGGCAGTGGTCACACGCTTTAACAACACACCATCATCCGCAACAAAGAAGTCGGCGAGCTCCCGAGCCAAGGCCCGGGGAGCAGGACCATGGACACAAAGTAGGGCACTCCCAGCCTCATCAGGAGGGTTAGAACCCAAACACTGTAGGATAAGTCGAGCTGACGGGGATTGCCATTGCAGTTGGAGTAGTTTTCTCCGGGCGGGCTTACCAGGTGCAACACTCACCTCTGCTGGGGGGCTCCCGGCATCAGCATCCAAGATTATTGCAAGCCGCCCCTCGACCTGATCGGATAGCTTGCCATGATCATCACACTCACAGTCGTCGACTACAGCCTCACGACCGTCAAGTAGGATTTCTTTTGGGATTCGCCAGCGGACACCCAATCGGCTCAGAGCGTCGGCCTCCTCATTCTCATCAGCGGCCACATGACTTAGTTGAGAGTAAACACCATACCGTCGTCTCCACGCCTCCCGTAACTCACAGACAGCATCGCAAAGGCGTGCCAGGGCAACCCGCTCGACCGACCGGCAAGTCAATCTAGATCCACCCTGGACCCAGCTCAAGGCCGTTCGGGAATCGGACATGATGCGGAGGCTGAGAGGACGAATAAACATCACGATCGACTCGACGAACAGATGAGCAGCTGATAAGCAGAAAGCCTCCCGACGATTCATATGCCACGAAACGCTAGGCCCTTTCCAAAATTTGGCGCGACGGTGCAGCTTGACTGGCCCAAACTTGCCCCCCAGAACGTCAACGTGGTAACCATAACCATATGGGCTCGCGTCGGTCGTGACACGTAACTCGGTCGCACCGAATGCCGTCGGGTGCTCACAAGGACCCTCTCTCTGCCATGCTCTTATCACCGAGATCGCCTTGGAGAGTGCATCGGCCTCCTTCGCCGTTAGGCGAGCTTGTTCATCCCAGCCAAGGTCCTTCCATTTTCCCGCCACTCGCCGTATCAGATCACCAGCTAACGCTTGCTCAGCGTGGATGGCTAGAGGGTCATGAGAAAGACCGGCCAACTTGAACAGCGCCCTCTTAGTTGTCCTCTGGCCCTCTTGGAACAGTTCCTGCGACAGTGAGGGCGTCGTACAGCGTAAACATAGCTCAAACATGTCCGCCCTTTTAGGCACGCATTTGCAGGCGAACGTAACGCCAAGATGGCGAAACTCCTTGAAGGCCGATACCCATCCGTCTGGATGGAAATCGACGCGGTGTGTCTTGTGGGCGGAGAAGGTGAAGCCCCAAGACGATCCTCGCTCGATCAAAAGCTTTTGGGCAGCCTCGACCACCTGCCTAGACCCCAACAACGTGAAATCATCCACGTACACCCATATATGTAGGGGATCGTCAGGGAAACTGAGACGTACTTTCGCTTCGACCTCAGCAACTAGAGCGGTCAAAATCTCCTCAAGCACACCGGGGCCGCATCGGATGCCAAAGGCCATCCGATCCACCCGGTACTTCTTACCCAGGCATCGCACAATTGCGGTGCATCCATCCTCCCTACTCAGTCGAACTTTATAAAAAGCCGCAGTCGCGTCCATAGTCACCAAGCTGAGTGGAGAAGCCGTCCTGTGGGAGATAGTCGCAAGAGCTATTTGGATCTGTGCCAACAGGACCGAACAAGACCGACCGCGATAGCTGCTATCGGGGAGCACCGAGTTCCCCGACGCAA